TTCAAACAAGTTTTCAATTTCTTGTTCTTCTTCTTCTCCTTCTGGCATACCTGTTTCAGATGTTGGAGCACTTAAAGTTGTCCCAGAGGTTCCTAAGCCTCTTCTCTCTTTTTTTGAATTCTTATTTCTTCATTCTGTTCCAGTTGAATGTTTATTTCTTCCTTTTGATTGAAATCGTTGATTTGAGTCCTGCTTTCCTCCTCTTCACTCTTGGTTCCCTGTATATTTTTCTTTCTTTCACTTTGTATAGCCTTCACTTCTTCATTTTGTGGCCATACTCAATCACTTCTGTGAGCAACCTGATTACCAGTGTTTTGAACTCTGCAGCTGAGAGGTTGGCTAGCTCCTCATCACTTAGCTCTTGATCTGTGCTTTCATTTGGGCCGTTTTTCTTTGTCTCAATGCAGTACATTGTAAGGGGTGGAGACTTAGGTATTTGCCAGGGCAGGGCAACCCACTTCACTGCATTGTGGTGCTGTATGTGGCAGAGGGGTCAGAGAGGGAACAATGCCACTTTCTCAGTTCTTACTCTGCTTTTAGTCACTTTCCCCACTACCCACGAGCAAATTGGGCCCTACTGGTGTTGATTCCCAGGTGGGTCAGTTTGTGCATGTTCTAGCACCCTATGGGTCTCTCCAATCGACTCTGCTATAAGACTGGGAGTTTCTCCCACCACCACAACCCCCACAGGTTTATACAGCCAGAGATTTTGAGACTTCCCTTCCCTGCGCTGGAACCCTGGGTTGCTTGGTCTGTCTCACTCCACAGTTGTTCCTCCTGATTTATCCATACACAAATGAGGGACTGCCTAGTTCACCAGCTGCCACCTCATCCACCAGGTCTGCCAGTTGCTGACTTGTCACGTGTCCTCTCTGCCCCAGCTGCCTGTCTCTGCTGCTTCTACCAGTCTGGAAAGATGTTTCTTCTTTAACTCCTTGGTTGTCAGACTTCTGTACAGTTTGATTTTCTGGCAGTTCTGGTTGGTTTTGTTGTTATTGTTAAATTGGTTTTTGTCTTTCTTTTGGTTGTGCAAGGAAGCAAAGGGTATCTATTTACACCTGCATCTTGGATGAAATTCAGGTTTCCATGATTTTTAAGAGTAGCATGTTCATCCCTATGTTCATCTACTACAAATCAAATATTTATTTTATTCTAAATTTGTTTGGTCTTGTTTTATGACTTGATTTGTTCTTTGACTTCATCCAGGAGATAATGCAGTTTGAATGGAACCTGGAGAATATCATGGAATCTAAGGGAAACTGTCCAACCAGGACTCAGTGTGAGAGGAACCTCTCTCTTCCATGCCTTCGGGTCTCACATCTTTGGTTTTCTGTGCTTCAAGGCATTCTTTTTTATAGACAGGCAATATCTCCTTCTCATAAGTGCCACACGAAGGTGGTGGTCTCTTTCCTTTCTATGACTCACATTCAAGTAAACAGCCTATGTCTACTCCATCCACTCAAATGAGTTCCAATTTCAAATTCCTGAAAAGGAGAATCTGATTGGCTCATCCTAGGCCAGGCATCACTCTCTTGTTCAGTCAATGGGGGTTAAAGAACAGAGTTATATGGTGCAGATATGACTGCTGGTGGCTACTTAGAGGGTTGTCAATGGTTTGCTGACAAAGGAAGTTATCACATTTTGAATGTCCCCCCAAGTTTCACTATAAGTTATTATCATACAATATACCCTGACATCTATTTGCACTCTCTTCTGTTCTATGAATTAGTTTTGCTGTGGCATAATCTTAGAACTACCTGGCCTTGGGAATTCTGAATCTTAAGGATTTGGAGATCTGGAAACAATCAGTCTAGGCTTCCCTGATGAGATGAATCACTCTTCTCCTAGACAGTCAACTTTTGAATGATAAAATGGCTTAATTCCCTTAAGAAATCCTGAAACTGACCTGGCCTTGGGGTCTGGGATTAATTTAAATTTCTTACACAAGATCACTGGCCTAAGAAATCCAGAAGGAAACAGGTTGGTCTTGGGCATATACCAGGCAGTGATATATCCAAGTATAGCCCCTGACATAGTTCTGAGATGGTACCTAGAAGGTCTTTTAGAATACTGCTTTTGACTTTCCTTTCTTAGAGTGGTGTTCAGCAATTTGTCCCTTTGCCTCTCAACCAGTCCTTCTCTAGGACCTTTTCCAAACAAAACAAAACAAAGCAAAACAGAAGGCAGATATGTAGGTGTTCATAACTTTAAGACTTAAGTGGAAATTCACATTTCTGGGAGTCTCCTGATTGGGTAACAGTTCATTTTCTCCATTTTGTAACCCATCTGCACAAGAGAACCATGGCAATGAGGATGGAGGTGGTTCTTTCTTCATAACTAATGTGTGATCCACCTTGGTCATTGTTTCTGCATAGTGTTTAGGGATGGGACAGTTCTTTATCATGCATGACTGTCCCAAGAATTGCATCTCTGGTCCTCAGGGAATTAATAGCCAGGATATCACATCATTATCATGAGAACCAAAAATGTTCCTGCAAAGTTTCAAAATTCACTTGAGGAATAGTTGCACTCCTTTGAGATAATGACTATTATGTATAAGCCATTTCGGTCTCTTATTCCCCATGATCTCTTTGCATTATGTGGGCTGTTTATATGTGAGTTAAGACCCTAGTACTTGCCAAGAGTTTTTAGTTTTCTTGGGTCAGTATTCTTTTGCATTTATATATAGAGAAAGAAACACAAATTTGTTGTTCCACTTATTTACCCATATTTTTTGGACCATAAGATACACCTAGGTTTTAGAGGAGGAAAATAGGAAAAAAATGTGTGAAGCAAAAAATGTGGTAAAATTAAATATAACATAAATAATGTATTTCACTAATGTAAATGTAAACAGAACTCAACAGCAGCATTAACAACCATTATTCCTCCCAAATTTGGGGGGAGGGGTGCATCTTATAGCCTGAAAAATATGGTATGCATTCATTGGTTTATTCTTTTATTGCCCTGAGCAGGGATCAAACCCACAACCTTGGCATACTGGATGATGCTCTAACCAACTTAGCTACCCGGCCACTGCCTTTTGGGTCAGCATTCTAATAGAGTTCTTAGGTTCCAATAACATTTTCTTATTTTGGATCCCTGGTCAACACAACTTTAAACCATGGATGTTGTAAACGAAGGCACTTTCTAGAAAATCTATGGTCTAACATGAAATCAGTTCTTAGGTCAAAATTCCTATTTTATATGTAAGGCCAAATTGAACTCAAAGTATAAAAGGAATAGTGGGTAGAGAGCTAGACTAGAAGTTTGGAGAACCCTTACTACCTGTGGGATTTTGTGTAAATCAATTCTCTTCTCTTAGTTTCAATTTCATTTGTAAAGTGGGGAGGTTGGACTACAGTCTCAGTTCCTTTCAGCTCTAATATCGTGATTTTAAAAATCTTTGTGTCTCCATTCCATCGTCCATAAGATTGAGATAGTATGTTCTCAACCCTGAGGGAGACTCAACTTTCCTAAATGGTAGTGAAATATTCCAACATTGTGGCGAATCAAAAATTAGGTCCCTGAAATGATCTAAGCTTCCACAAAGATTTCAGAGGCCCAAGAACCGTGTGAATGTTTATAACTACTGTATAATGAGTTTGTAAGTATTACTATAGCAAGGTATATTTCCCGTAAGATATTCACATTGGAAGTAGAAAAATCATTAGAGAGAAAAAGGACAGTCCTTTATTAGGAAAGGAGAAAGGACACATATATAATATTCAGATGGAGGACCAGGAAGTAGAAGAGGGGCTAGGGGAAGAAGTAACCCCTGCCTACTTGTATCAGTGCCCAACCTTCCAAGAATCTCTTAATGTTTTTGGTCACAATGTTAAACTATTTCTTGAGTGCTTCTTATGGAGCAAGCACAGTATTGAGCTCATATATTCTTACCTTATTTAATCCTATATCACAATAAGCCTATCTGTGCAAGTACTATGTTTGCCAATAATTAGAAAAGTGAGAATTTGAATCCCAAATGTGTGACCCCAGAACCCAGGTTTAATTTTACTCTTACTAAATAAAATATTTATCATGAAATAATAGTTGCAGTAAAAGTATTATATTTTAATGAATAATTATATTTTACTCTTATTTCGTAGTGTGACAGGAGGCGGAATGATTTCCCTTTCCAAAACCTCCTAGCACCCTAGACACTACCAGTGACTTATTCTAGTTTTGCGTGCTGTTGAAAATATACTCTATTAGGAATCTGAAAGCTGATTTCTGGTTTTGCTGCTCTGTGTTTCTGTACAAGGCATATAAGCCTTCTGGATCTCACATTCATTTTTTGTAAAACACAGTGCTACTTGAAGGCAGGAGACTACTTCCTACTTATTGTAACCCCCTTGAATGTAGCAGTGTGGGGTAAATAGTGTTCAAAAGCACTTCCTGAACAAAGGAATGTAAGAGGGTAGACAAGATGGTCCCTATGCTTCCTTTCTCATTCTTTGATCTTGAAACAGGGCCTTGACCAGGTAAGTGTACCATATATACCACAGGTGGCAAACACAAGGCCTGTGGGCTGAATCCAGCCCTCCACCTTGTTTTATCCCACCAGGCACCTTGTTTCTACCCAGCAGCAGTGCCAAGCTCTCACTTAACTGTTAAGGAGTAGTTACATTTATACAGTCCGAAAATTACATTCAGCCCTCTGAAGACAACCTTGAGGCTGACACAGCCCCCAGTGAAAATGAGTTTGACACACCTGAATATACAGTAACGCTTTGCCTTCTATTCAAAAAAATAGAATAAGGCATGCCAAATTCTCATTAACCTTTATTTTGAGAGGGTTGGTCTTGCCCAATTATGTACAGTGCCCGTTTGAACTGTCATAAACGTTTTCATCAAGGCCTCCTTTACTTCCCCAGACTAGCTACTACTGTTGAAATACGTAAACAGTCCTGATGAACTGTAGTAATCACCACCCAGGGGGGCGGAAAACCAAAGATTTTCAACTAAACCCCTCTGGGAAAGCAGCTCTGTAAACTTACGCAAACAAGTCCTTCCAGCGTGAAGTGGATACCCCTGGCTGGGAGGACTGGGTACCAGGGTATACTTTGGTACTTGACCTTGCCATAGCATCTGCTCTTCCAGAGACTTTTTGCAGGAGTTTCTTCACCTACAAAATGGTGGAGTAGTCCTAGACCCGAGAGTTTCTCCCCTCCAAACCGGGCTTTAACTCCGCCCCCTGAGGGTGGAGGCGGGGCGAGGCAGAGGTCAGGCCAGGAGTCACCCCAGGCCTCCCGCCGCTGGGCGGTGCCTTTCCTCCTTCCCACTTCCCGCCCCCTCGTTTCACCGCGGTGAGGTCACGCGGGAGACGTCACGGGGTTGTGACGCCACTGAGGGGCGGGCCTCTGGGAGAGGAAGGGGCGGGGCCTGGAGCAGGCGACGCTTGCGCAGTGGGCGCGGCGCGGGAGGAGGCGGAGGCGGTGGAGTAGCGAGAGAAGAGGCGGCGGCGGCGGCGGCGGCGGCGGCGGTGGCGGCGTGGGGGGGGAGGGAGGGGGGGAGCGCGCGAGAGAGTGGCTGAGTGAGTTTACCCTTATGAGGCGGTGAGAGGCCCGGGGCCTACTTCAAAGGAGCGGGGTCGCGGCGCTAGCTAGCAGCGGGCCCCCTCCTGGTCCCCGGGCCCGGCAGTGCGGCGGCGGCTCGGTTGTGAGGAGGTGGGGAAGCGGGTGTCCGGCCCTAGACATGGAGGGCATGGACGTGGACCTGGACCCCGAGCTGATGCAGAAGTTCAGCTGTCTGGGCACCACCGACAAGGACGTGCTCATATCCGAGTTCCAGCGGCTGCTCGGCTTCCAGCTCAACCCGGCTGGCTGCGCCTTCTTCCTGGACATGACCAACTGGTGAGCCGGCCCGGCCGCGCCAGCGTTGGCAGCGGCCTCGGGGCCCCGAGGGGAAGGGAAGGGAAGGGACATCAGAGCCCCGCAGCAGGGAGGGCCGGGCGGGCTCTGAGGGGCACCCCTCTTCCCCGGACGGAGAAGGCGAGTGCGGGAGCCCCATGGTCAAGGGAGAATTTGGGGCCCGAGCAGGGCTCGAGAGCACGTACGAGGAATTGTTGGAGGCCACGGAGGGCAGGAGGGGCGGAAGAGAGATCGTGGCGGGGGGAGGGCCCTGAGGTTCTGTGAAGTATTAGTGGCCGTGGAACGTGGGAAGAGGGGAAAAGACCTGAGTCTCGAGGCGGCATTGGGGTAGACTTGGGAGGAAGAGGGCTGCAGTTGTTGGCTAAGAGTAGAAAGCACAGGAAATTAGAATTTGGGGAGTGGAAAAAAGCTTCGGGTGTGGAGTTAGGTGCTGAGAAAGACAGGGATGAGGGAAAACTCCGGGAGTGTATTAGATGCTGTGGAGGAACTTGGAGCGCGGGAAAGACTTGGGAATTAGGAGCTGAGAAGAACAGATATGTGTGTTGTGTATGTATGTGTCCCCTTCCATGCAAGGACTGATAGGGAAAAGGAGAAGAACATTAAGGGGGAGGACTACTGAGTTCGGTAAGAGAGAAGACTTTCCCGAAGACTTGTGCCAGGGAGTGGTGGGATCTTCTAGTAGATTGGCTTATGGAAGACTGGGAGTGTTAGACCTGGGGCAGGGTCTGGGAACTACCTTAGAAAAGTGAAGGAAAGGAGATTTTCTTGGGGAAGGGAACTTTCTGGACAGACTGGGACCCTCTGCTCCAGAATTCCGGAATGGAGAGGGGCTTATCCGAAAGACAACTGGTTGGTGTGTGTTTGGGAAAACGGAGAACTTGACTTAGGCTGAGAACCAGGAATTTTTAGCTTGGAGTCTCCTTGGAGAAGACTGAAATTGGGGCAGAAGACCATGGCACTTAGACTAAAGAGTATTTCTTGGCTTTGGACGTAGCACTTGCTGTTTTTGATAAGCAAGGCTTCCTCTTGCTCTTTGAGGAGGGATTGTCGGGTTCACTCCGGGTGAATGAGAAAGTGGAGACTAATAGACTTCCTTTGAAAAGATTTCAGGTAAAGCAACTCATTTTTCTTTGGTCAAAAGCCATGGGATGAATGCCCTTTGCTCTCTGTGTTGGGCAGTCCTCTGACATGTGGAATCTTGTTTCTCTTGGCATCACTTGTACAGCTAGCCTCCCCTTTATTCCTTGCCCACTGAATGCCTCAGGCACTGCCAGAAAAAAGGAGGCTGTAAGCCTAGTCTTTATCCCATTCCTCATCTAGTCCTACCCACAATGATACTCGTTTTACTAGTGGGAGCCTTGTAGCCGTGACTCCACCAAAAGTGATATGTGAATTTTTTTCTGGGTAGCATCATTGGTCAGCCCTATTAATTTATCTTTAAAGTGGATTGTTATAGGAAGAGTGGGATTAAATTTCTAGATGTTTAGAAAACTCTTTGAGACATCGAATGCAGGAGTTAGTCTTTAGAATTAAAGAAGTATTTGTCAGCACCACTTGTATCTTTTATGTCCAGGATGATCTCAGATTTTTCTTAACACCAACCTATGTTGATTAAATAGAGAGTGATGGGGTTATTGAAAACACTGAGAAGAGGTATTACACTGGTGAACTTTAGAAAGCTGTCTGAAGGAAGGTTGTTCTCTTGCCTGCCTTCTTTCCCACCCCAGCCCTTTTTCTTCCTTGTTTACACTAGTTCAGCAAAGGAAACTTGGCATATTGTTGCTGCCAGTTTGATAGGGGAGGATCGTTATTTCTCCCCACCCCCTTGTGAGTCGTACCATTTAAACCCTGCTCTAATAAGTTTTTAGTTCTTTAGAGTCAATGTTTACTAGTGCAATTATTATGGCTACAAAACCAGTGTAATGAATTTTATATGCTTGAGGTGTGTGTGTGAGCATGTGTGTGTGTGCTTAACAGCTAAGATTGTTTTTAGGTGTTGTGAAAGATGAGGCCCAGTGTGGATGAGAAAAAAGTAACTTAAAAATTATAGTTGCATTATAAATTTTTATTTAAATTTTTATTAAAATTATTAAGCTCCAAGGTACAGAGTAGCATATATTCTGACAAGATGTTATCTCTGTATGATACAAGGTATGATACATTTCTGAACAAAGGAGTGAGCCATTGAAAAAATATATCCTGGTTTTAAAGCAGTTAAATGTCAATAGCTTCTTAGGAATCCAGGCAATTAAGTGATCACTCAGCTTTAAACCACATTAACTTGTTTTTTGGTTGTAGAAACCATGTTTTTTGTTTTCTTTGATTATAAAATGAAAAAAAATCATTTATGAACTGAAAGTAGTAGGCTTGTTACTCTTTTCTAGTGACCGCAGTTAGCTCCATAATCCAGTATTGTGTTTTGATTGCTATGTTGACCTGGCTAAATTTGTCTTGTTAGACTTCTGTTTTAAACAAACACCCATCATAATTAATAAAGTCTAATTAAAACACATACATGAATGGATACATACTTGGTCAAAATATTTGTGTTGTTTAAGTGAATTTCTAAATTCTAGAAATGTATTGAGTGTCATTTAATGTCTAACTTTGGAAACTGTTGGGAAGGCCTAGTATAGGTTGGCAAAGTATCTCAAACTGCTGTTGTTAGCCTGTTGAATTTAAGATAATGAACCTTCCTGTGACTTCATAAGTGCCTGCTTCTGTGTGATGACTATTAAAAAATAATGTGGCAAATTAAGTTGGTTTTGTTTTTTATTTTTTTTAATTATTTTAATTATTGTTCAAGTAGTTTTCTGTCTTTTACTCTCATCCCAGCCCCCCCCCCAAGTTATTTTTAAATGAAGGCCATGAGTCTTATAAGTTGGTAAGACAATGTTTTTGTTTTCCAAAGAAAGAATTTTTTTGTTGTTAGTAATAACTTTTTAAGAAGTTGTTGGAAAGCTGACTTAAGTTGAATATTTTAGCCTTGTAAATTTTGTACCCTGTAAACACAGATTTTTTTTCCCTTAGATTGGGTGTACATTATGTAGACATTTCTATTTATTTAATTTAGAACCATGTATTGTTTCAGTTTAAGCATTTTGCAGTGTTTATACTTGGCACTGGTAGCCATGCTACTAGAAATGGTGGAATTGCTTCTAACAAAAGTAGTCAATTTTCACTTCCCAATTGAGTACATAGACTGAATATATGGTATCGTGAAAAAACTTAATATCTGTAGCCAAACTGAAATGATTCGTAGATTAGTATACTTTGTGTAGGTGGAATACCTTTTTTTAAAATTGAATTTATCGGGTGACATGGGTTAATAAAAATGTATAGGTTTCAGGTGTACAGTTCTGTAATGCATTATCTGTATATTGTATTGTGTGTTCTCTAACCTAAGCCAAGTCTCCTTCTCTGTCACCATTTATACCCCCATACGGTTTTCTACCTTCCCCTACTCTATAGGTGGAATATCTTGCAGAGACACTGTTGGGCTGTGAATATAGAACCTGGAATTCTAAAGCTGGAAGTTGGGCCCTAGCTGGTGTAGCTCAGTGGATTCATCTTGGGCCTGTGAACCAAAGGGCGAGGACCCCGGTAGGGGGATGCGTGAGAGGCAACCACACATCGCAGTTTCTCTTCTTCTCTTCCCTCTACCTTCACTTCTCTCTAAAAAGAAATAAATGAAATCTTAAAAAAACAACAACAACTGGAAGTTGGTTTAAGAGATTCTGTACTTCATTCCAGTTTTTCCTTCAGAAATTGCATATAAACCTTCCAGGATAACTTATTCTTGCATCCCTGAGGGCAGAGATCAACATGATACCTTATTATTATGTTTAATTACTTTTCTAGTGAGAATTTGTCAAAATGAAGTCTCTCTTACTACAGTTTAGGCTTTTAAAAAAAGTTTTAAAAATATTTTATTTATATATTTTTAGAGAGAGGGAGAAAAAAGGAGAGAACCATCAATGTGTGAGAGAAATATTGATGGGTTGCCTCTTCCACACCCCCAGCTGGGGACCTGACCTGCAACTGAGGCATGTGCATTGTCTGGGAATTGAACCAGTGACCCTTTGGTTCACAGGCAGGCACCCAATCCACTGAGCTTCACCAGTCAGGGCAGTTTAAGCTTTTTTTTTTTTTTTTTTTTTTTGGCTTATGTCCACCTTAGAGAAGGAGAATATCTAATGAACACTACCTTTAAGGGGTCAGAAACCTTCTGTTCAAATCACTAAAACTTTTCAGCCATGTATAATTTAAACTCAGTCAATTTAATGCTTTCTCACCCTTTAATATAGTCTTAATATATTTGTATTTTTTTTTCCAGGGGAAACTAGGGGTTTCAGTCAGAGGAGAGCTTACATACAATTTTTTTTAAAGTGGCAATAAAATATACATAACAAAATATAATTTTAATCAATTTTCTATGTACAGTTTATTGTTAAGATTTTATTTTATTTTTTTAAAAGATTTTATTTATAGCCCTGGCTGGCGTAGCTCAGTGGATTGAGCGTGGGCTGGGAACCAAAATGTCCCAGGTTCGATTCCCAGCCAGGGTACATTCCTGGGTTGCAGGCCATAACCCCCAGCAACCGCACATTGATGTTTCTCTCTCTCTCTCTCTCTCTCTCTCTCTCTCTCTCTCTCTCTCTCTCTCTCTTCCTCCCTCCCTCCCTCCCTCCCTTCCCTCTCTAAAAATAAATAAATAAATCTTTAAAAAGATTTTATTTAAGATAGAGGGAAGAGAAGGAGAAAGAGAAGGAGAGAAACATCAATGTGTGGTTGCCTTTTGCCTATCCCCACCTGGGGACCTGGCCTGTAACCCAGGCTTGTACCCTGACTAGGAATCAAACCGGTGACCCTTTGGTTCGCAAGCCTGAGCTCAATCCACTGAGCTACACCAGCCAGGGGTCATTGTTAAGATTTTAAATTCACTTCTGGCCTTCAAAGTCATTTGTTTCTGTTATGCTTTT